TCAAAGTCTAAATTACTAAAACGAACAGTTTCAAATTCAAAGTGTCAAACGACGAAGGGAGGACAAATTTGGATAATACAAGTCGTACAGATTAAGACGAGAGAGTCGAAGATTTGTATACCAATTCAATTTTCAATTTATTTCGGCGCGAACGTTTCCTTTCCTTTAAAGATTCTATACTTTCTTATTGAATCGAATCCAGCTGATAAAAAAATAACGGAATCAGAACCATAGGATTATTTATCACGACCTCGCTTCTACTGCAGATTCTATAGTAGCGCATAGGCAGCTTTCGTTATTAAAATGGGAATATTTATCTAACTTTATCTATCTACCGAACCACGGAATAAATTCAGTGAATTTGAAAAAGCGAGAATTTAAACTTCCCATCACGCCGAGGCAAACTTGCATCGATTTCTTTTAGCTTCGCTTGGAATCCTCCAGTGTTTTCATCATCGTGCAAACAAACAGTTTGCTCTCGTAAGTGAATAAATAGATAACTTTCTACTGCTTTTTTTTATTTCCTTTCGGTAGGTTATAAAAATAGTAACAAATTGACACGATGTGACCAAAACGCATAGATAAGAATTTGAAAATAATAAATATGACACGACAACTATACGAAATGAATGAAAATAATGATGTACCGAGTAACACGCGTTCAAAGACGTCTGCCTCCTCTCAAAAATGGAACGTTGGAATAACAGAACATGTACAAGACGATGAAAGAAAGGATTTCGAGAAAATTTGAAAGACTCACGCGATTTCTATCGAAGAAGGAACGAACGAACACATCCAATTCACTTTGTCCGCTGAAGCGCTTGCAAATTTAATGTAAGCTTCAACAAAGACTGATCGATGTTACGAGGCACGAATGAACTCGGTATAGAGAGAGAGACTATCATCGTTCTAGAAAAACTGACTGGCAATTCGTACATGAACGTCTGCACAGAAATGATAAGCGAAACACGACGTTACGTTACGTTACGTTACACAAAAATCAATTTCTTACAAATCGAAAAAACAAGTCAAATGTAAAACGTCCATATGTATTTCTGAATCTCATTTGTTTTTCTTCTTCCATCTCTCCCCCTATTAATTATTCGCGTTAACGTCACGCCAACGACCAAGAGTTGGAAATGACAAATTCTCATTTTTCCTAATATTGAAACAATCGATTAGAAACGATGGGAAACGTCGCTTCTTCGCGTTTCTACGCGAAGGTGCACCTTTGTTCTCGGCTCAAAGAGCTTGCTACTTTAGACAAAGAGCTTAGACGCACATTATTATTAGTCATTATTGTTACGCAGCACACCGAAAATAGAAAATTTACCGTTCTGTGAAAAAGGAACAATCACGAGGTTGTTGTAATTGCATCATTTTCTATCATTTATCCCTCCCCCTCTCCCGTTTCAATTCTGCATCGATATTGTTTATCGTTTTCTTAACGTTAATCGAAATGTAACACTTCGCGTTATTCCGTCGAACTATTCGGTTAAGGTTGAAACACGATGATGACGTCTCAATTATCGTTGTATCGCACTTCACTCCACTTCGAACCAACATTACGCATATATTGTATACGTACGCCGTTCTTTGACGCGCGACTTTAAATATTTACATTCGCCAAGGAATGTATAAATATAAAAGGCAATCGAAATACGAGTCTCGTCGCTCGAGTCAACCGGTCTCAGGATCAAAAACTTCGTTTGAAGCAGTGAGATCCGTTGTGCGGGACAGGACGAAAAGAAACAGAGGAATAGGGGAAAAAAACAGAAAAAAAATGAAATCTAACCTTTAAACTCCCTACAACCGTACAGCATACACTTATCGTGCGTTAAACGAACAAGATAAAGCTGCGCACACACGTAGTACGTAGGGACGTGTAGTCAGCTGGTTAAAAACAGCTGTGTCCCGTCATCGACGAAACGAGGAATTAAATATCCCTCATCGTCTCTCTCGTGATACACCATTGACATTGCACCGCGTTGTTTCTCGTCGACCTATAAACTGCTCATACCTGATAAACAACCGATCTCGCGGTAACATGCACATGCATACTGCGTAGGTTCTTGCATTCGCAACCCATGTGCAGGCCTCTCTTGTACACGATTGCAAGCACGTGTGATAGAGCGAAAGAGAAAGAAAGAACGAGAACAAGAGAGTGGGAACAGACGTAGGGAGGGGGAGGGGAAGGAATGAAGGGGAAAGAAGAGAGAGAGAGAGAGACAAGGAGGGAAAGAGGTGGGGATGAAAAGAAAAAGAAGGAGGAGAACGAAGACAGAGATACAAATAGCAAGTAGGAGAAATAAAAATGAATTTCAAGGATACAATTTGAGAACGTCCGTATCCATACGTCGTTTTCCAGCGCTGGGGGACGACATATTTATCGTCTATTAACGTAGCACAGAGCCCTTCAGCAGCAAGTCCTTGAATCAGCTGAGCCCGATTGTCGTTTAGGAAGGGCCTCTGACTGCTACGGATTATTCACCACAGCAGAAGCCACGAAACGAATATTGGTCTGTTTCGCCACTGTGATATGACACACTCTCTCTATTTTCCTCTCGTACAGTTATTCAGCACCGAGAAAAAAAAACAAAGACACGCGCGCGTGATGGTCGTTAATCAGACGTTGGATGTTCGGACGCTCGCCACTAAGGAAAACGACACGAGACAAATTCCGCGACGTCAGCGTTTAATGATGTTTCCTACGGATAAGCGAACGCACGATCCCTTGAACAGCAGCGATATACAAAAGGTCTTCCTCTTTGTCCGTCCGGACCAAGTCAAAATCCTTGGGCTAGAGAATCATTTCACTATCACCCACAACGACCCGTTTCGATGACTCGTTACTCGTCGACACGTTCCTCGCGCACACAGAAAACAATTCTTTCCCCTAAACCTCCTCCGCCTCCACCACTACGAAACGCCTGTTCTCGTGCACCCCACTGTCAACTCACGGACTTCACTGCATCTGATTCCGTTTCTGCACTGCTCTCTTGCTTGCTGCTACCTCTGTCTCGCGTTGTGCCAGTGAATGCGCGCGCACAATACAAAATCCCTGCTATGATCCACGAATCACCGCTGGTTCTTTCGGTCAACCAATATCACTAGAATTAGACCGAATACTATATAAACTGCCTAATATTACCTGTTTTTTGTTTTTGTTTCTCTGACAAATTGTGAAATTCAAATTCCATGGCCAATGGATAATTGCATTAAAAATATTTAAAAAAGAAATCTTAAGTTCCAAAGAGAATATGTTTCATTGCTTATTTATATTTTATTGCTCGGTATTTTCTTCAATTATTTTGTTGCAGATATATTTATATTAAACTAATATTAAACTAATATTATATTCTCTAAATAAAATGATTACAATATACAATAAATAACCATTTACATAATAAATTGTTCACGATATGTAAGGCATTTATGATACAATTGAAATAAATAGAAAATGACATGGATAAAATTAAACATGAAAATAATTTAAATTTAATTGGAAAAGTAAGCAAATAGTGATTGAAAAAATCACTAGCTCTTGGTAACACTGTGAAATAGTGTACATTAATATGCTGGAATTTGAATTTAAATATATTATGAGACTGTATGCTATTTGTATGTGCAAATGATAAAATATGAGCAAATACAAAATATTTATAAATATCATGTAAATACCTTTTTTAACCAATAATAAAAGAATCCAGTATCTGTTAAATTTTAAAAATCTTGGCATTTGAAGTTAACCATTCACACACATGTTACGATAAATTAAATAAGCGCACACACTGATGAAATTATGACGAAAAAATTCAATTACACGACAATTACTCTTGTAAACAAATAAATTGTGGGAACGGTTGAAAAGAAATTGAATTGTTCGGTAAGTCGAATGTCGCACAATTCGCGTTTTATCCGGACATTTAATAACATTGAAACAAAAGACACACCTATAATGAAAAAATTAACATATATACATACATATATCGCACAATGTGATGTTATCATAATGTTTAGTAATTCCATAAAGTTATTCTAACAAATTGATTTATTTAAAAAATGTATAAAAATTGCGAATATAAAATTTTGTTTAATATACAACAGAAAAATTATTGAACTTTTCAAAAATGTTTGTACCAAAATCTAATAATAAAAATAGATACACAGAAATTTGAGTTCCTTAAAATACTAATAGGTTACTACATTTTAGTTACTTCATACTCTTAAAATTATTTCAAAAATATGATGATTAATGGTATACAAAATTTGTTCGAGATTATTGTTCATTAATACGTTTCGTTTAATACATCGAAGATACAGAAAATACTAATTCTGCTGCATCAAATATAAGTACTCTATATAAATAACTATGTGCACTAAATTCATTCTACTAAATTGCAAATGTGTATAAATTTATTGCACCCCTTTTCTGTTCAGATCTACTTTGCATGCATACATTTTAATCTCTAATAATTATATCAGTAATGCATCGGAGTTAGTAAAAATTTGTAAGAAATATATATAATATTAAAAATTTGTCAAGGAACTTAATACTGCCAAATGTAGACTAAGTCTTTTTGCATAATAATAATGCAAAATAATATTGAGATACCCGTGTTCAATATTATATAGCTACCATTAAAATGCACGTTTACAAATGTTAAATATATAATAGATAAATGCCCAATATTGATATGTTGTATAAAACGACGGAATAGATTATTGATTGTTAAAGAAAATAGGTATTGTGGATTATTTAGTGCATTAAAGACTATTACTGTAAGTAATACAGAAATGGAATGTTATATAACGTAACAATACCTATACAATATTCTAGCATAATCGCGTACAGAGACGGACGTAATGAAGAAAAAAGAGTCCCTACTTATTTCGCTTAGAGATACTTATTAAGTAAATCGTTAAGTGTATAAAATATTAAGAAAACGTATCATAGAAAAAGTAAAGCATAAAAAATATTTTTCTTAATAAATAATTAATTTTGGCATCAAAAGATTACTTGTATTATCAGTCCTTGCATTCTCTATAAATATCAGAAATCCTTAATTCCTTAAGTAATTTATAGCTTTCCAAGGCTATGTTTAAGTACAAAATTGTGTTGACTGGTCAATTGTGTTCACTGCTCTATTTTGTATAAAAAATGTGTACTACTTATTCTACTGCTGCTTTTCGTGCGAATGCTGTCAAAGATAACATTTCGTTAGGATCAGTAGATAAACGTGAAAATTCAATTTCTTCGCTAATACTATTTTCTGAAACAGAATTAAATTCATACCACAAATTAAGAATACAATATAATTAATAAAGAAATATAGAAATAAATATAGTTACCGGATGGTTCAATAGGCCACTGTTTGTGCGATGGTGCGTATAAACACAATAATGCTATGATGTAAATATTCCACATTCCGTATACACCAGTGAAAAATGCTGATGTCATTTCCAAATGTAATTCTTCATCCCATTTCCATTGCCCTTCCGCGACCTACATATATCATGCGTATTATACAGTTCTTTATTTCATTAATTTACTTTTTCTTTAACATCTCACTATACTTTAAGCATAATATTTAAATAAATACCTGACCAAGAATAAATCCAACGACTGTTAAAGATGCACATAAAAGTGTAGCGATCATCAAAAATTTGAATCGATATATCACACCTTCATAGTGTAAACGTCGTGCCGAGCTCATACTAGGTAATGCAGCTCGTTTTGCACTAATATTCATAAATACTTTCCAGATCATATAAGCCAAAAATATTAAATACACGCCAGCAGATACTCCGGCCAAAATTATAAACGATAACTAATTCATTGTAAGTTAAAGAACAAATTATTTGAATGTAAAAAGAAGTTTTTTAATGCGAAAGGATACAGCAAATTTAGTCCCAAGATCTGTAACCCAAATTGAATAGAATGGATTTCGTAATTGGACTCCACGTTCACACATATCAAATACAAATAATGATAGGCATCCAATTCCTACTGCAGAAAGGTGACGCCAGTAACATTTTAGAGAATTTCTCTGTTCACCTTCCTAATTAATTAAGAAGCAATAAAAAATTATATTTTCGTGATAAAAATGCAATCATATACAAAAACTTATAACTAAACTTACCTGTATCTGTGATAAAAGATGATGTAAAAACCAAAAAAATTCATTAGTACATAAAAATCAAATTATTTTCATATATATTTGATATTTTTACCATAAGATGTTCTCCAGCAAACACAAGCCAAAAAGATAAAAGAATTGCATAGAACACTCCTTGTCTAATATCACCCAATAGAAGCATAAATGGCATATCATAAGCAAGTGTTAAATATTCCAGAGGCACTAAAAGAATTATATTCAAACATAAATAATTAATTCTTGCATAGTAAAATTATATAACTTACAATTTAAAAATAATAGAGCTATGCCCAATGCTAAAAGTAAATATTCTAAAAGAGCTGGTGATCTGGAAAGCATGTGTACTCTCCTCCAGTACCAAATAAGGACACACAGGACAATTGGAAAATAAATAGTTTTTAAACTGACCCATACTTTTGTAAATCCACCATTTTGATTGATAGCCTAAAACATAGAAATATTAAGTTTTAATACTTGCGAGAATCTTATGCGAAGTAAAATTAAATTTTTAAATGCTATATATTTACTGTGAGCCATAAATCAGTTATGTGTCCCAAACCCTGATTAATGTTTCTATCAGTGTCAGCAGGAAGACGAATGTTTAGAAGATAATAATCATGAAATAGAGATCCAAGTTCAAATAATGGTACCACACTACAATTATAATTATACTGTTCCATTGCCTATGCAAAATAACTTGATGTGAATAAATGTATATTTGCATTAATCAATGCAATTATTATAACTGTATTTACATCATCAATGCTACAATCCAGAATTCTTTCTACTACAGAGGCTGCATATGGTTTCCAAGCATCATCCGGATCTCCTTTGTTTCTGTAAGCAAGTCTTGCATCCAATGTTATCTTAGTCCTAGGAGCTATAAAAAAATAACAGTTAATATACATAATTGATGTTTATTTATAAATATATATTTTTTTATGAATCACCAATTTCTATCTGACTGTGATAAACAATATCCACTTGCAAAACACCTATCAAATTTTGTTGCCATCTAGAATAATCAAGTTGCATGCTATTTCGAGGTACAGGCATCTGTAAAACAAATGATAAATTATCAGATTTCTGGATATAATTTTTGACATAACATAATTTTAAAAACTTACCTGAAATGTGTAAACAACTTGATATGCCTGATGATGACTGTCAAAACTAAATCGATTCATATCAACAGAATTACATTTCCCTTTTCCTCTTGAATAAAACCATTTGTTTCCTCCTGGTTCAGAGCCATTTATACGAATATCCTTACAAGGTGTACCAAGTATATTTTGACTGCTAGCTGGAGTTGGAGCTAAAATGTCATACATACAATCTAATAGAATTATAAATAGTTATTTACAATGATAAATTTCACTAATTGAAATAATTGAACTGATTAATTTTATTCCATAAAATTTTACAAATAGATCAATTTTTTTAAATTTTTCATAATTTTAAATTTTTAAAAATAAATACACAACCATTTAATCTTTTAATGTATTTAAAATAAAGATTGGAACACTTTAACTGTAGAAAACAATTTTAAAATATTTGACATTTCTTCACTTACCAATAAGCCCGCCTATTAAAAAACAAACTATTTGTGCGATAACAAGTAATATTACAAGTACCAAGAGCTTTCTACCGCTTAAGTTTTCTATGATTGTCCCTTGCATTTTCTTTTTTTTTTTTTTTTTTTAATACAATTATATACCGTGCTCGTTTGTAATATTGCCTGTTCAAAGTGTAAAGTCACTAAAAGAGACGCTCAAGCAGACGCGTTTATCCAGAAAGTGTGTGAAGAGCAGTTTAACGTGCTTTTCGAGTAGCTTCTCTTTTCAAAATGGAAGCTATGACATACCAATATTTATAGAAATTCTTGCGAAAATCTCTAAAAAGATCCTACGGACCAATCATCTTATATTCAATGTTGCCAACGATCATTTAATAGATTTGCAAAGTATAGGAATATTGGCCATAGACTTCAGAGTTCTCGTTAATAAAATTTCGAATATATTCAAATTAAATATTGAATATCATCGAATACAATATAGCTAATCGATTTTTTCCTTTTTTTATTGTTTAAAAAATCGATATTTTTAAAACCCTTTGATCGAACATTCGCAGACGATTCGAGTAGTCGAAAGAAAATATCGATTCATAAATTAAGTCTGAGATGCATTGCATACTGCATCTCCAATCACTATTAGAAAATGCGTGACGTAGCGATGGATGCGAATGGGAATGGGAAGCGTGATCTTCCCCGAATAGTTCTACAGCAACAAATTATGAGCACCGAAGTGAGTAAATGCTTTGTCAACTAAGTGCGAAAATCCTGCCAAAAATACGTAACGGTCATCGGCGTGGATCAAGTCGTCTCTAACCTTTTTGACAAAAGCATATACTACTGTTTAATGTGGATTGTCACAATCTGTTTATCAAATCAAAAAACGATACGTGAATAACATCTCATATCCTTTTCTGAATAATAATCGTTGAAATTAACATACATAAAATGGTATATACAATACTTATAACTGATACTTTATCGAAATAAAAAAAAAAAATAAGAGAATGCTAACACTGTGATAGTAACATTTGCATGTCCTCTCTCTTTTGTTTCTGTGTTCAGGAAACATCTAAATCTACAGATTTGGACTTCGTTTATGACGATGCGGATAAGCATGCCAATGAAATTGCTGAATTATACAGCTATTCAGAACAATCTGAATTACATGTTAACCTAACAGTGAGTATAAGCATCTCTGTAATAGTCTACGAAATATTAATACAACATGAACATGTTCATATCCAGGCATTTGAAGAGCAAATGGAATTGTACAAATTGAGACCTTGGTGGCAAAATTTATCAGAGGCGCAACAGAAATCTGTAATTTACAAACTATTAGATCAGTTAGAAGTTTCTAACAAACAATTGAGAATGAAGGCAGCAAGGTGCATTTTGTATTTGGCTCAAGGTTGTTGGGCTGAAGTACAATCTGACGAAGAGCAACGTGAATGGACCAGAACAAACGTTATGTTATTATATGAAGCTGGAATTTTCCCAGCATTTGTTGAACTTCTTAATATTGAAATTACGTATGTTGATTTTTTTCTTATACAACTTTATTTTATATATCAATTATGATTCTTAATAATTATTTCTTATATATTATTACTTATATTCTTAGGAATAGTAGAAGAGCTGCTTCTGCAATGAGAAAAATATCTGTTAGTCTTGATGATTCCACTGATTTAAGAGTCATTTTGTCTGTTTTATATATTATAACAGAAGTGATGAGGGAAGAAATGAAAAATTTAGAGCACAGTATTTATAAGAATAATGTTGAATCTTTCAAAGAAGATTTAATAAATCCATATGGTGAAGAGTTACTTATAGTTAAACTTCTTGGCATGGTAACATACTTTTGCAGTGGAGCAGCCCCACATTTTCCAATGAAAAAGGTTCTTTTATTGCTGTGGAAATTAATTTTGGTATCGCTGGGTGGTATTGATACACTAAGAGAATTAAAAAAGCAGTATCGTGAAGAGGCTGGTCTTGATACGCAACAAGAAGACACTTTAGAAGTTGCTAGGACTATGAGAGCTAGCTCTCCTCCTATCAGTGCAGCAGATTTAATTGAAACACAAAATCAGAAAAAGAATCACAGATCTTATCGACGAGTATGTTACATTTTTGTGTAAAACATACAAAACTATATTTGAAATTTCTAATTATTATTTGACAATTCATGCTTTCAGTTCCTAATGAAACAAAGTTCACTAGATGAACCAGGTTTAGGAATGGAATATGAAGGTGCAGAAATGGGAAACAATACTACAAATAACGAAGGTGATGATAATGTATTTATGAATCAAGCTGTTTTGACCCAGCTGCGAACTTACTGTCAAAATGAAAACAATCAACCTCAAATAAGACCCGATACTCCACAACTTACTAAGGGGAAAAGTAATATTTTTATTAATACATTTCAGTTTTGAAAAGTGAGAAAGAATGAAAGAGAAGTTACTAATTGAAAATATAACGTATTATTTATTGAAAGCAATTTATTTTTTAGGTTTACCATGGACACCAAAGGTAAGACAAAAGGATGTCGACGCTTTTCTTGAGGTGTCAAGATTAAAATTTGTTGGTTACAACTTAGAGGGGGATAGACAAAGTTTGGCAGGTTTACCACAACCAATACTCGAAGGTGTTAATACTCTTAAGAGAGTAAGTAAAACTATTGTACATCTTATATTTAAAAATTTAAATAAGTAAAATATGTGTGTTTATTTTCAGCATATGTATACGTCTTTAGCCGAAATCCAAATTCAAAAAGAGGAACAAATGCTCAGAAATCCTATAAGCACTCCAAGGTTTCCAATTCGTCAAACACCAACAGAAATTGTATATCATGCTATATTACCATTTGTACCACAATATATGATTGCATTATTAAAGATTTTATTAGCTGCTGCACCCACTAGTAAAGCTAAAACGGATAGTACCAATATTATGGCTGATGTTTTACCAGGACAAATGCCGTAAGTTTATAAATTTACATAAATAATATATACTTTAAAGTCCTTTTTTAATACATAAAATATTTGTATGTTTCACAGCATGACTGTTTTTCAGTCAATGAAACTTGGTATCGATGTAAGCAGGCATAAAGAAATCATTGTTAAAGCAGTATCTGCTATATTACTTCTTCTGTTGAAACATTTTAAACTAAATCACATATACCAGTTCGAATTCATGTCGCAACATTTAGTATTTGCTAATTGCATACCACTTGTTTTAAAGTTTTTAAATCAGAATATTCTAGCATATATTGAGACCAAAAATGTGTAAGTTTTATTTGCAAAATCATATATATACATATATATATATAAATCAAAAATTAATGAAAATGTATCTTATAAATATACTTTTGTTTTACAGTATTCCTATATTGGATTTTCCTATGTGTGTTATTGGAGAACAGACAGATGTGGCTCTAGATAACCTCGAAATAGGAGATAATCTACCATATTCATGGAGAAACGTTTTTTCTTGCATCAATTTATTACGTATTCTTAACAAACTTACAAAATGGAAACATAGTAGAATTATGGTATATACTATTTTTAATTATTATATTTATTTCTTTACTATGAATGTTTTAACTTTATCCATCTACAGATGTTAGTCGTATTTAAATCGGCACCCATATTGAAACGTACATTAAAAGTCAGACACGCAATGATGCAATTATATGTCTTAAAATTACTAAAAATGCAAACTAGGTACTTAGGACGACAATGGCGGAAAACTAATATGAAAACCATCAGTGCAATATATGCAAAAGTTAGACATCGTTTAAATGATGATTGGGCTTATGGCAATGGTAATGTATCCTATAAAGTTTTTTGATACTTCTTATGCAATGTAGAATTTATTTTTTTAGAAACAAAGTACAAATAATTTCACTTTTTTTTATTATTAGATCTAGAAGCGCGACCTTGGGATTTTCAAGTTGATGAGTGTGTATTACGTTCTTGTGTTGATCGATTTAATAACTTACGATATACTAATATTCCTAAAGATAAAGATATGGAACCTGTTGATAACTCTGTTACGTCAGTACTCGGAGTAAATGTGGAATTAAGCGATGAATTTAAACAACATTATGAATTATGGTTACAACAAGAAGTATTTCAAAGAAGTATTAATTGGGATGAATTATTGGATCCTGAAGCGTGTGAGATTTAAATTTTTAATAAGTGTAATATAATATATATATATATATATATATTAAAATCGTATTTTCATCAACTCATAGACCTGGATCAAACTTTGACGTTTTTATAAATTATATACTATTGTGAAGTGTTCAAAAAAAAAAAAAAAACATTGCCATATCGATGCATTGGAAATTAAATTCATATTTGTTTTGTTACATTGATCAGTGAATGGTCCTAATCTGATGAATGTTTAAGACAAAAGACTAGTGACTTTTTAAAGATGGTTTACGAGATAATGTGTAATATTTTTACATTTGTTTGTGTGTATTTAATTTGTTCAATGTGCATTGCTTACAGCAATATTTTATTATTACTATTATAGTTGTAAGAGAATATATATATAATCAAGAAGAACTAGGATAACTTTATTCAAATATATGGTTCATACTGTTCGCATTCATGTTATCTAAGTTTCTGTAAATTAATTTTTAATGATGTAACTACGAATCGTACACCAACTGGTACTTCCCATATTTTATATAATTTTTATATGTACTCTATTTCATTGACTCACCATTGTATAATGGTAATAATTATCATGACACAGTTTACAACTGTATTTACAGACATATGAATGTTAACATGTATAATTATTAATTTAATTTAAACTGGTTTTCTTAAAAATTTGTTAATTTTATAAATTAAATGTTTTGTTCATTATTAAATGTGGCAGTAATGCGCGTTTGACCTGTGTGTTGCGTATAGATCTTTATACGAGAGACAGAGAGAGAAAGAAAGAGCTGAGTAGCAAAATCAATTGTATATAAATTCATGATACAAAAATCTATAGAGCACTCCTATAGTGCTTCCATAGTATTATTTCATTTAATAGATGAATATTTAAAGTGTAGATTATATAAATAATAGACTGAATATTCAACTTTCTCTTATTTATTTATTGTAATGTATATTTAAATAATTTTTGCGCAAAGTACCACATAACTTATGTTATCTTATTTACTGTACAGGATCTTTTATGTCATTGACGTTATATTTAAATCATCAAAAGTAAATAAAATTATGATCTACATATAAGTTGTAATTTTTAAATCGGAAAAGTTTTTAAAAAATTATCTATAAATTGCATTTGTTATATAAGGATATATGTATAATATATATGGATATAAAATATTTTGTATCTACTATAAATTGTTCCCTGGAATGATATATGTTTAAAAAGGACAGTCACATTTTATTTAGATATTACTTTTCATGTGCATATTTACCATATGTCCAAAGCTTATTTCAATTCGTATATTATCTGTACACACTTTAACTAGTAAAACATATTTTACACTTAAAAAATGTTTCGAAAAATAAATGAATTCAATTTCTTAATAAATTAAATATACGAATTAGTTGGAATGTGTGTATAAAATTTCAGAACATCACGTTATACATTTTGATGTATAATATATAGAATGATCACAGATGATGATTTGCAGTACAATTTTTTGCGATCTATAGTATATATGTACATTTTACATTTTCAAATCATAAAAATTTTATTTATGGTTTCACCCATTTGTACGAACCATAATAGAGGAAGTTATTTGTCTTTGCCAGTTCGTCCGCTTCTTTAGGTCCTCGTGAACCATATCTAAATTTGAAGCAAATGATTTTAGAATAGTAAAAAATATTTTTACTTAACGTAGAACGTAACTTACTTATACGGAATTGGTTTAATTTTTTCCTTTTCTATTCGATGAAGCAGAGGCGTGAAAATTCTCCATGCTTCCGAAAGTTCATCATTGCGTACAAAATGCATTTGCGAGCCACAGAATACGTCCAATATCAGTCGTTCATACGCGTCCGGAAGTTTCAGATGCTATGTTATATATACGTATTAATAGAAACATTTCTAAAGTTCAAACGAACTCATGAATACAATGAATAGAGGATTCTTGAATTTACCTTGTACCTATAACCATATGTAAGATCTAACTCTGTTTCCTCCATATCGAATGTAATACCAGGCGATTTTGTCATCATTTTAATGTACAACGCTTCGCCTGGTTGTACCCTAATTACCAATTCATTCCTCTTTGCTTTTCCATCGAATATATCACCAGGCACGTCCTGATATTGTATTCTAACTTCTGCTTTTCGTTCATTTAACGCTAATTATAAATATTCCACATTAATAAAACTGACCATATATTAAGAGGTCAGTCATTTTTCAAATTATACTCTTATTAATACTCTTACAATACATTACCTTTCCCACATTTAAGAATAAATGGAACCCCGTCCCATCGTTCGTTATTAATTCTTAATACAGCGAAAGCAAACGTGGGAGTATTAGAACCAGCTGGTACAGTAGGATCATCCAAATAGCCAAGTTGAGCATCAGGATCATTGGACTCAATGTTACCAATGTACTGACCTAGCACAACATCCTCCAACATCAAAGGCTTTATGCACTTCAACACTTTCACTTTCTCGTCTCGGATATCATCCGGATGGCAAGACGCGGGCTTTTCCATCGCAACCAACGATAAAATTTGCAACAGATGATTCTGCATGACATCTCTAATGATACCAAATTCATCGAAATAGCCGCCTCTCCCTTGGGTACCAAACGGTTCTTTAAACGTAATTTGCACCGAAGCTATATTGTCTCTGTTCCAGGTTGGACTGAATATACGATTACCAAATCGCAGGGTCATCAGATTCTGAACCATCTCTTTGCCCAGATAATGATCGATACGGTAAATTTGATCTTCTCCAAATAACGACGCTAAATGGTCGGATAACTGTTGCGATGTAATTGCATCACGGCCAAATGGTTTCTCTATAATCACTCTGGTCCATCCTCTTTACGAAAAAGGAAACAAAAATATGTATGACGACAATGTTTAATATGTATTTTAACCCGAGATTACCCATCTGGGGGTTTAGCGCAGGTACATCCCGGCGACTAGATCCCCACGTGGGTAATCCCAGGTTAAGGTAATTAGGAAGTGTACAACTTACTTGTTACCCATACAAACGTTCCTAATATGTACGGTTACGCTTTCGAAAACAGTCGGCGGCAAGGCCAGGTAAAATAATCTGTGAGCGATTTGGTAATTTCGCTCGTATTTCCTCAGTTCATTGTTCAGCACTTCGAATCCATTCTGCGAGTCGTACATACCAGAGACATAGTGATTCAATTTCCAAAACTCCTCATATTTTTCTTGCTCATCTGGTTTCACTTTCATATACGGATGACATTTTTCTCTTAATTGAGACACGGTCATATTCGTGCGCGCGTAACCGAAGAATGTAGTGGTTTTTGGTAAAAGATTGTCTCTGAACAACCACCATAGCGTTGGGTAGATTTTCTTTTTCGCTAAATCACCCTAAATTTCGCATATTTTGTTCATTATTATTATTTTTTTTTTTTTTAATCTATGTCTTGTATTATTTTGTATTGTTTTTATATATGTGTGTAGTTTTTAATTTTTTTATGCAAAGAACATAAACGCTTTAGTTTTACACTTATAATTATCGATTAATATTTTCGAAAAATTATTGCTCAAATCATTATTTTTATATTTGAAAGGAAATATTACACTTACAGAAGCTCCGAGCGTAACAAACACGTGGGGGTACAATCCGTCAAAATGAGTACCTTCGAGATGATCCATTTCATCCGACTTCAGCGACTGCCTGATGAAACACAGGCTTTCTTCCGTGGATGTTTCTTCAATAAAAAAGACAAAGACTTGAATTACTGATAAATTAGCTTAAAAATAACTGGCAATATTGTCAGGCTAGTATACGTGAAAATTGATTTGAACTCTCTGCACTTTGTGTGTATTTTTAGTAAAAATGACATACGTAATTGAACGCGTCCATTTCCATGTTAAATATCTAGCGAAATCTTCAATCACATTTCAAAAAGGAAGACAAACGTGATTCAAAAAATAAGATAAACATGATAAATGTAGTACGAATGCTATTGTATTAAGAATATTATAATATAAAAATCAATGATAGGAAGATATTGAAAGGCTCCATAAAAGCTTCTAAAGTCATTTATATTTCTTTTGTAGAGAAATTGAAGTCGTCATGAGTTCAAAGAGCGTAACTAATTACACGCATGGATATATCGATAAAATCAGGAAAATAAGGAATTTGAATTACAAAGTTTTTTTTTCATTGAAGTTAAAAATGTTGACATATTATTCTTTTCTTTTGCAAGTTAGAGACTTAGAGATTTTTTTACTTCTTTAAATGCAGATTTAATTGCATAGTTTTATTAATTGAATTTTTATCTAATAAAATAAAAAATTATGCGACAGTTTATAAGATTATAATATCGATAAATATGTAAACTATACATTTGTAGTATTAATTATGTAACAATTTAATGATAACATGAAAAATATAACAAAATATATAGGAAAAAATCTAATTAATTTTTCTATTTTATATTTTATTTTTCGATCGTATATTAGAATAAGAACGAAGAAATATTGTTACTAATTAAACTTAATATTTTACGTATTAAGTATATTACTTAGTATCATTGAATATGCAAAATGCCGGTGTATATTATTCAAACTAAGTTCCACAAATCTTATATAACGACAAATCTGATCATTAAACTTTTTTTTAATCTAGCATAGCATAAAAATAAGTACAGAAGAATAGAAGTAAATTCAAAAATAAGAAAAAAAGAAAAGTTTGATAATATAATTGTAATATTGTATATAATTTTCAAACTGCATGAATAACAAATAAATTATACTCTGTGTAACGTAAGTATACCGAAGTTCAAGGACTTCAACTCGAGGCATAATTTTATTTGCAATTACAATTTTATACACTATTAAAAAACAACTTATTTTATTGAAAAATAAATCGTTATTGATTAACAACAGCCTTGAGATTTGACAAATTAAGCTGAAAAAATTCAATTCTCTAAAAATAAGAATTTTTTTGCAATTAATATTTTCTTAATAAATTTCTTACAACCACATCGATCGAAGACACTTCAATTCAATTTCTTTTCTTATCACTTATCTATACTCAATACATAACATTCTTTTCTATAAACATTTCATATACAGCTTTTAAAAATTGCAACGATGACAGAAATATACATGAAAGAAAATAATCCTCATAAGCACTTTGATAAAACTTACTCATCATTGCGAAGAAATATTTCCTAATGAAGTTTATCGTAAATCACAGTTTTTTTTGAAAAAGTAATCTGAACAGAACGTCCAAAGTCTTCACACCGATCGCGACAACTGTTTGACTCGAACTAATCGTCACGATAGCCGCTGTGACTATTTTGCAGCTTCAGGAAGACTAGGTTGTTTCGAAATACCTGGATGACGCCAGGTATATTGGATGAGGATATTTGCAAATTGAACTCCATAAAAATAATTTTCATTCCTTTTCCCATTGCTTCCTTTTCACCGTTATATTTTATGTGCAATTGTACCTTAACAATTATATCATGCTAATATAAATAATCAGAAAATAAACTTTTATTTATAATATTCAGTGTTTTACGATACTTCGTAAAAATAAAAATAATGACGAAAATCATTATTGTACTGTGATTAATTTTATATTACTTTTTTGTAAGTGAATATTTGTTTCGTTTTTATCATTATTTTCTTTAAATCGTGAATTTATTTGAAAAGTCTTTTATGCGTGACGATATTGCAAATACACATAACAAAACATTTATTTTTTATCTGTCCTCACATATAATAGTAATAGATAACTACAAATATAACTCATAATCAAATTGCAACACATATATTATCGTTGTATTACGTAACTACTGTATTACTATTTTTTTTGTTAAAAAAATAAATTTTTATTTCTTTCTACTCAGTGAGTAAACTAAATTTTTAATTCTTTTTATTCAACTCGTTTATTCCATTCAATGTTATCAGCATATATATGTATGAGTAAATAAATTGATCACGTAGTTTTATTTGCGTTTAATAATAACTGCTAAATTTTTAATCACTTTAGTTTTAATATATACAACTATGAAGTTGCAATAATAATCACGAAAATATGAATTGAATTAAAATTAGCAAGGAACACTTGTTATTATTTATTTGTTATCTACGACGATGAGTAAGAGATACGGAAATATATTGGCTTGATGATCAAGAACAGAATAATGAAACTAATTATCAAACTAATTATTCATCATTAAATATCTAAATATTTTTCATCAATAACAAGACGCATTAAATAAATACGTTCCTATATGATGTTCATCGTGATTAATTTTTCAATTAATCTTTATTTTACTTTATTTTACTTTATTTTTACTTTACTTTATATTTACTTCTTTAGATAAATCTATGCAAAAAATATTATTAACATCTACAAAGACTAACACGTTTAACGCAGTGACATTGACTTAATGTGTTCCATGTATGTAAGTATTATGCATGCATGTGAACGCACATAAAATGGCCACGTGTGAATCTTATAAGAGCCAATGACTTTGCAACTAGCAAGTGAGTCACATTGTACATGAATCGTTCGACGTTGATCCTTGAATAATATCAAATTTTGATATGTCAATTTGTTAAAGAAAGTATTGCTTTCATAACCAAGATTTACACAGTTGACGTAAGTTTGATAACTATCTAAAGAATCAAAGCAATGATATAAGCTTGATCTTTGATTAATATATTATAACAAATATTGTAGTTTTATTCCATGATTATTTTATGATTAATTTATTTTATAATTATATGAATATAATAATAAAATTTCATTCGTTTCTGCTCTGTAATATTCTTTTCCACCTTTTTTTTATCGTTGCGCTGAATAGCGTTCAACTTTATATCATAATTGACTCGCAGGTTAGGGAAATCACGGTTTCCTACCTAATCTTCGCGATAAACTATAGATAAGCTGCGAAAAATTTTAATTCAACATTGTAGCTTCCTAATTACAATTTTTGTAAACTTCTATGATATAGTATTTGTTTTACTACAGTACTTGTGGTTCAATATTTTTTACGTAAAGAATACTCTACAAACATTTATGCTAATCAAAGTATAATCGAAGCATATCCTGATGAGCTTTTTTCACGCATTTATCAACAGTAACACGTGACACACGAAGTCGCGCGATTCCTAACATGGTGGTTGAATATGTACACAGATATACGTAATTTCATTTTTTTAACTCTCAAATCCCCAATTACTTATTAATCAATCAACTCTTCTAATAATAAATCGAAGAAATTTCTCCAACTCGATTTTTAATGCACAAGTAATTTTATTTTTTAAATTCATTCGTATGATACATGTGTTAGATGACACGAAAAGTGAATGTACATTTGCGATAAGTCGTATTTGATGTAACAATTTTCAATGTTAAACTGATGTTGCAGACCTACTTTTCATTCACAATGACTCGCAAGAGAATGTAAAGTGTAACGTGCCTTAAGAATATAGTTCGTTTTTTTTAATTTATTGCGATAATCGTTTAGTAATAACAAATACATAAATAAAACGATAAAATCACTAATACACTATTTAGAAATAATTTATAAATGGTTTATTCATAAATAAAATTGAGATAAACAAGTTAATATCGCTATCTTTCTTCAGTTATTCATCATATGTTACAAGAGTAAAAATCTATCGTGTGATTCTGTGATGTGAATATACTATTCAAGAAAATAGTGATTTGACAAAAATAACGTATTTGAAACATTATCAATGTAATGAATATCTAGAAAAAGATTTAGTATATTTTCGAAGGTATATATGCAAAGGGAACTGGCTGGAACTGTTTTAACTACATAATAAGTAATGCATAATTTCAATTTGCACCGTATACATATATATATATATAAATGAGTGAAAAACTTACTTCTTATTTTCTCCATTATAGACACTATTTTGAGAAATTGAATTTAATTAGCTAATTAAGAAGGTAAATTTAAAAAAAAGTACTTCGCGTATTTCGTGTATTTTGAAATGATCATACAAGCTTTTCACGAAATTAAGGTTACGCTGGAAATATAATGCAATGGTTTACACATGAACCGATCGACTGGCATTTGAAAATCCTGTTCATGAAGATCGTATTTCTTCGAGATCCCCGCCACCTCTCATTTTGGCCCACCAATCTCGTGCTATTCCTCCATTCTCTTATTCTGTATATACAGCTTATCCCTATACCAAATAGTTAAAGAACATCCGAAATAAACATTTTATCTATTCCTTAATTATTAAATATTATTAAGAGATCTTTGAACATGATTTTTCTTGAGATATGTATGTATTAAATATTATTAACCGAAATACATTTTTTGTATAATATAGTTTTAAAATTAATTTGTAGCAATTACATACAAATAAAATTGTGTGCAATGACACAAGTTATTGTACTATCAACGATTACATTGTCATTGACTAAGGACAGAATAGACATGGCGTGTCTTAAGTTCTGAAATATCGATTTTCAAGAAAATGAGTGTTTACGCCATCTGCCATTTTCTACAACAAACATTTTAAATTTGTGTAAAATGATAATCAAAATCAGATGTACATATAATGGTTAAATAAATTTTTAAAAAAGTTTCCTTGCCTTCTATATATGTCGTAATATTTATTAAGGCTGAAAAATACAAAAGTCAGAAGAATAGAATTAAGGATTACTTTTAAAAATAAATATATATAAACAATAAAAATTATAAGCTACATTATTAGCATTGTATCACTAGTATTGAAATTTAAGATTAAAATAAATAAGAGTGCATATATATAGTTCATAAAAATCAATTAATAAAAATATTGTACGTAAAAATAAATATTTGTACGAGTGTTTCGATCTACTGGCAAGAATTTGCAAACTCTTATAAATCCATTTTAAGGAATAAATAAAGTACAAAAAGAAAGCTGGACATTTAATTCGGTCGATACAATAACAAAAGTTCATGACTTAATTTCTCTGATTAGCATTTTTTGCAAATAAAAATTTATTTAATTTACGAGCTTGTAGGAACACGTAGTGGATAAAGTAGAATCCTACCACGGGTTCTTACATAAATAATTAGACTCGTATGAGTTCTTTGGTAGATATATATTTTGAATTATACAACTTTGGTTTTCTAATCACAGCACTTACACTTAATGTATATGCTTAGAGCCTCGATGGTAGCGAACGAAGACTAAGCAAAAGAAGAAGGGCTTTTCTCTTCGCAACCCGGTTTTATAACCTCGGCTTGCGAAAAGGGGAAAAACTTTTTTCCTGCCTTTTTCCGGCTTTTATTTTTGCTCGGGAAAAGGTGTCGCTGCCTTAATGGAAATGCTGTTTTAATGGAAACGCACCTTTCAACAGAAGGTTCTTGCGGAAGTAACGTGGCGCGGAAGTAGCGGTCGCTACAAGCTTTAAAACACTAGCGACATGTAGCGGTGAAAGAGTGCAACTAATCGCTATCTCTGTCCTTGTAGCACAATATCACTCTCCTTGTCTACCGATGGTTCTGCCATCTGAGCCTTTTTCAGTTTCGACTGAAACTAAAAGAGTAAACAGAAAAAATCCGATAGATGGCAGTGTTTAAGTTATCAGAAAAGGATAGCGAAACAACGTGCGACAAGGAAACATATAATTATAATAAGCAGCACAATAGTGTGCAACAAGGACGAAACGATTAGTCGACTCGTTTCATCGCTAACACGACGTTAGTATTTCCATAAATTGATAAAATTTTCATTTGCAAAAAAAAATTGATTAAGCGAATTAATTTATGACCTTCTGTAATTGCATTTTAATATTAAATCCTTAGCTTCCTTCGTATGTTTCATTTAACCCACAAAATGCTTGTTTAAAGATTTATAAATTCTGCTCAATAGATCGAAACACTACGGAAATAATAATTTTATTTTTCGAAAATTTTATTTCGTATCATTTGATTTTTAACATGCGCACATAAAGATGATACATTTGTAACATGTAACAATAGTTTTAAGGGTGAATTAATCGCTCGGCGAAAATAACTAGGCACGTTCATTTAAAATTTCAAAGAAATTACGTATAAATGAATAATAAACCTTTATTCTGCAATTAACTTAACTATCATAGTGTAGCTATAAATCTCAAAAAATATGATTATTTTTTTGTAAATTGCGAATGTACGATAAATTATTCTTTTAAGAAGTTTCATTTTGATACAGTGTCATCTATTACGAAACGTTTCTTTTTAAATAAACATTATCAAAGGTACATTGTTTCATTTATTGAAATTATTTTTGGAAAATTTCATAATTCTTCAACGAAATGACATTAACAATATTTAGTGAATTTTGTAAATAATTTCATTCAAGATTTCTTAACCTCGTATTTATAATGATTTAATTGTTTGTTTCTAGAAAATGAGGCTAAGTCAGATATTTTTTAAGCAAAATGCAAGAGCCCCTCAACGTCCAGATAAAGTGCCATTTAAAGAAATAATGCCATTAAAACTAAGAAATAGAGTTGCTGGAGGCACAACCAAAACATTGGGTAAAGATTACATCTCATAGTATGATATATAGTCTTTTTTTATAAAACTCAATAATAAATGATATTTCTATATTTTTTCAGAGGGTAAATGTCTATATGAGATGTCATTAGTATTTGCATGTTGGAAAAACAGTAATTTTGAACCTAATAAATGTCACAAAGAGGTGCAAAACTTTTATGGATGTTATAATAGATATGTGAAAGACGCAGCGTTACAAAAGGAATTTAAAAAAGTCACTGTTCCCAGTCCTAATGCTAAGGTTTTTACTAAAGATCAAATTACCTATCTTTTAGAAAAGTATCCGAGTGTATGATGATCTCAAATAGAACATTAGAATATTTTGTAGAAAATATTTTATTATATTTCAATTGTCACTTGTACAAAATTCATTGTTATAATATTTTCATTATTATAATAACTCATCAATATTATTAAATAAAATACTGAAATTTATGAAAAAGCTTCCATACTAGTGTGTTTATTTACCTGTGCCTGTAAACGCTTGATATTTAACCGTGTAGAATAATCTGTATATGAATATAAGCAAAATAACATTAACAATATTGTTTGAAATTTCTATTGTAATTACAAAAGATTGTAATACATACGATGTTTAGTTGAAATAGATGTAACCTTTTGTATGGTATTTAACTGATGTTCAATGCGTTTTAGTGCTTTATAATTTTCTACTTGTTCATCTCTGTAATAAGAGTATGTACAAACCAAGGTAATAGCACAAAAAATGAGAGCTATTTTCCTACACAACCATACTGTATTCACTAAACTGTCCTAGATTAAAAAATAGTAATCTTTTTTACATTTGATATATAGATAATAAAATAACATCATTTAATGACACTTTTATGAATTCGAATCTATCGTTACCTTATTGTCATTAGAATGATACATATTGTTATAATATTGAACTAACATTCGCTCCCCAATAACATTTAAACTTAGAATTGTAAATAGAGTAACTCTGGCATCCATAGTTCTTTTAGAAGAACTAAACAATGCGCACAAGATACAACTGACTGTATAATATATAATGGATTGAAACCAAGAAATTTCTCCAATGATCCAACTTTGAAAAGTACGAAAATATGAAAATATTTGGAGCAACAATTCTCTTTGATCTTTCGCTGATTCTCTACAATAAATAATTTTAAATTACGTTTATGAAAATTTTATATCACACGTAAGAAATTTTAATATTCTTACTTAAAATCTTTAACTAGATTATTAACACTTTCAGAAGAAGACTTCAATACGGAACCAAGCTCTTTTCCATGAGTTAACAGTTTGTTTTGCATTTGCAAACTTTGTTTTTGACTTTCAAGCATGGTTTCTTGTATTTCTGAAGCTTCTAACAATTGTTCTCTCATCCGAGAAGAAACTTGATACAATCTATAATGAAAAAGATGTATATACTTTTTTCAAAACATATTAATGAATAAATATAAAAGAACTTACTGTTTAATAGTATTGTCAGTTTCAGCTTGCCAAGCCTCATAATTCAAATAAAAACACATGTGTGTAGTATGTATGTAAAATTCATTATATACATTAAATGCTCTATCTGACATATTGTTAATGCAATTACTATAAAATCAATGAATATATAATTATTAAATTTAATAAAACTGATATACATATGTATGTTAAAAAATATAAGGAACTTACCGGCGTTGATTTTCTGCATCAATAAGGTGGCAATCATAAGTTTTATGCCCAGAGTCTTTTAAAAAACAATTTGTCAACATCAGAGCAAGAAAAGAATGCTGCTGGTCATTTAATTTATCACAACTAATTTTTATGTTTTTAATAACATTCTGCCAACAACTCCCATGTTGAGATAAAGAAGATTTTGCTATATATAGAAACATTAATTAATTAATTAATTGTAACAACATAAATAAATAAAGTAAATTTTATATACATGTATATACCTTTGATCATTTCATATTGCTTTGCACCTAATTCTTTCAATACTACACTTCCATCAATTGCAAATGAAGAAAAAATGGGAAAAAACAAAAAAATAATCACTTTATATTCTTTTGTTATTTGTAACATTGCGTACGTTTCTCTTTTTAAAATTCATTGTAAATATATTAAGTAGATATACTTAAAAGAACTTCGATGCACATTTGAAAATTTAAATTCATCAGTTGAAGAATGAACAGCATATAGATTTTCTTGTTGCACATATGTTTAAAAAATGAATAAAAATCCACCTTGTAATCTGCAAAATCCTTTTTTAACAATTGCACAATTTCAACTATATATTTTTCACTTCAATTTTCATTAAATTTCGCACAAAAATTGTACGTTAAAGAAAACACGCTTTTTGTATTCGTTGAAGGCGCTAAAATATTAGGGCGCCTTTTCAAATTTGTTGTTTCTTTGAAACTTAACTAAGAAAATTATATATACGTATAAAAAAGTATCATTCTTTTTTAATTCTCTTTTAACATAAATTCATTACGTTTCTGAATTTTCATTTTATGTTGATAACGAATATTTGAATCACAGACAAAATATATGAATAGATCTACACCATGTTCATGTACCTCGTCTGTACTAGCGCATTACACTGTGCTTGATCAACTTCGACCGGTTTACTTAATGTAGTTCCCCAACTCACCGTTATTAAGCGTAGAGTGCGCTAAAATACCAGCAATTTTTTTACTATGTCGGTATTTCAGAGCATGGGACACGAAATCTTATAAGATGCTTGATCTGTTTGTCTCGTCTGTGATTTGAATATACGAATTAGTGGAGTATAGAATTACTCGCATCACTCTTATTGAAAACTACCTGTTTTATAACAACCATAGAATATAGTAATAATAGTTAACTGATCGGGATTTTACTTTGTTAAATGGCTGTCGCTACCCTCGACAATTGATCAAATTAATTTTACCCAACGAATATAAAATAAACAAATACGTAAGATCCTTGGAAATACATCTTCCTTCATAATTGATCAAATAAAGACGATTCATGGCCAATTATTAAAGCACTAGGGTATTCTTGATTTGTGCGCCACCAAGTAGACGATTCTACCATCAATTCGAAATGTCGGTACACATGTATTATTCATTCTATTCTAACTTTGAATTTTATACATATCTTTTCAGTTCCAATTTTGGACGAACATGCACTCCACCGTATCGATCATAAAATTTCTACTTTAAACATGTATTTTCGTGTAATGTTTTTTTACACGTGTATAAAGTTTACAGATAAAAGCAAGAAAAAAGAAATAGAAAGATTTGATATACAAAATGTTGTTTATTAATGAACGTTAAGTAATTATAAAACAGGAGCTAGCTATTATTTTGCGTAGAGTGAAATGCATCCAATTGCAATTTCATCCATTGGCTTGTACATACATGCGATTCCCAAGGGACTTGTAGAAAGATAACGTACTACAGGAGCGATAGCTGGCAGCCAGCCAGTATCTTTTGCCATTGAATTTGGACGAACCGAAAATAAGTAGTCGGCATTAAGAGCAGCGACATAGGTTCGATCTTCTTTTTCAGGTCTTAAAGACCGGTTTATCCTTCGACGAGTACCGGGATCATTGTTCCGACAACATTAATTCGTTGCGTATAAAACACGTGTGAAAAATTAAAGAAAAGAAAAAATTACCTCGTGTCAATATTTCATTTCGTTCGATAATTCAACAAATTTTTTAAACAACTTTATATCGTGTAACTTTATATCACTGATAATATATTAATTTTTTTTTTTAATTATTATTTAATACTGGAAATCTCGAACGTCATAGAAAAATAATCTTTAAGCAACGAGATTTTGAGAAAATCATACATTAAACTTTCGACACTTTATCTGCCTTAACATGTAGACATTTTCAATATGAATTCATATGAATGTTTGAACAATTCGTTCGGAACGTGTTACAAAAACTTGTGTCTTGCAAGAAACGTTCAAGCGAAAATTATGAATACAAAGAGAATATTATTACGTTCGGATCGGAACGAGAGAGGATGACATCAATCGATCACCGGTATACGCCGGCGATTTGCCGAAGTATTATATATGAAAGCGAATCATCCACGCCTAGTCTGCTTGACGTCACTCTTGTAAACTGTACATCGTCAGATTAAAAATAAATGCGACCCGGAAAAACATTCAATGTCAGATAATTGGAGTCCGATCTGCTCCAGACTCCCAATCAATTTTCCGGCGTCGAACCCTGCGCCAAAACAATGCGGATGCGGACACGCAACTGTTTCTAATTTCCGGCTTTGCTCTAAATCGAAACGTTCTGATCGGGATAAAAATACTCTTTGCAAGTGTGACACACTTAGACGCGGACGAAAATCGATGTCGACCTATGTTGAGTGTCAATGATTAACGACTCGCTTAGCAGAAACTGTACGGGGAGGAAAGTAAAACGAGACGCTTGCCGATATTCTGATTAATTAGCTCTTGTCTCTCGTCTGAAGAATCGTTCGATAGCTCGCTGTCTCCCTATGTTCGTGAATTTTAATCGACATCTTTATAGAGAACGATATATGCAGATGTGTCACAATCCACCTTTTCGTTAATTATTTATCTGTGCGACCTTTGCGTTGAGATTTGCTCTGTTGTTCAGTTTTATAACGTACACGTTGTGCGATGTGATCTTAGCGAATCTCAAAATTTGACATGTATATAGATAGGTAACGCTATTATTGTTTTACATGTATAATATTAAAAATCAAGTTAAGACAGGGATAACAGTGATTAGCTAACCAGTTTATACAATTTGATTTTATTGGCACGATTCAATTATCATTCAGTTGTTTGCACTTGAAATAGATAGAGGAGAAGCCTACCTTTGTGAATCTAGAAGCAGATGGAGATTGAAGTGACGAACATTGAGGAATCATCGACGCTATTCGAACTCGAGAGTCTTTCAATGAGCCCTACTTCTTCGTCTATAAGAGCTTTCTTCAATGCATTATTCTAAAATATAAGCAAAGCTGTTCACCATTTCTACGCATCTTTCTTTTTTTCTTCTACTTTCCTCGTTCTTGCTTTCTAACACTTCTTTCCTTGCAACAGAATATACAGAACCCACTTGAGACAAGAAAGCTAAGGAAAAGATTTCGAGCCTCCTCCGTTAAAATATTCTGTAAAACATTTTTTCACATTTCAAAGTATAGTGAAATCTTTAAACATTCTGCTTTTTATGCAAATGATTTCTTTCAAAAAAAAAAAAAAAAAAATGATGGACCTTTGGTTTTCTCGGATTTTTTTTTTAAATGGATAGGACACTTTGATTAAGGAGGAGTGAGTTCAACGATAGCCTTTCAAGTTTCGTGATCCCGGCGGCTGGCTCTGATTTTCAGACGGAAATTTCCGTCAATGATGTACCATGAAGATTTAATACTTTGGCAGGAAGCCCAACGCAGCGTTTACCTCTCCAAATGTCACGGAACCTATGACGTTGTGTCTCGTTTCCTCATTCTTCTTCTTCTTTCCTTTTTTTTTTTTTTTTTTTTTTTTTATTCGTTCAACACGAAGCAGCGTTTCATAAAACCCAGCCAATTCATCTTCACCGATTCTTTCTTCCGCTACGAATAAGCAGGTCCATAAATTTTGGCTGAGGTACAATAACAGGAAAAGAAGAAAAAAAAGAAAGATCTTTCTTCTTGGAAGACACGAAGGTATTTGAACACTTACCGCAAGACACTTTCACGTGTTTAACGAGATACAACTTTTCACGATATATATTGGCAAAATTTAAAATATTACAAAATGTTTATACTATTATAATTATTATTATATTATATATATTACATAATTATTATTTAATTATTTATAATATATATTATTATAATTATTATATTACATTTACAGTAATATTATATAATTTTTACTTGAATGTTTCTACAAGTGTTCAAATAATTTCGCGACTGCAGCAACTGTTCGTGTAATGTAATTAATTGCAATTTATGTAACCTTTACGCTTCTCTCTACTATCAGAAATCATGCAAGGAGTACAAAAGAAAAGAAAAAAAAAAAAAGAAAATAGAATAGCCAACACTAACTGTCTCAAGCAGCGTTTATTTCATTTCTTATTAATCAAGTCAGAGCAGTTCTTTAAAAAATCAGTTTCACGTGTTCGTGACTCGTGGCGAGAACGCTTTACAATTACGCTTGTGTATCGGAGGTTTCCAGGGGTTTCCCGACAAATGCGGTGCACCCCCTTTTTTCTTTTTTTCTCTTTTTATAATAACTATACGCGTATCAATTCTATTCCACGTGTGTATCACCGTGTGTATACCATTCGCACGTCTCGTAATCACCGTAAACGCTCGAATCCATACCATTCTCATATACACTTTATATATATTTATATATGTATAAGATGCGATGTTCCTTGACAGGAGGATGAACAACGACGCGATGGTTCATCCCCTGTTTGTTCGTAATTCGAGGAACAGGCGAGCACAAAGAAAAAGGGGGGCGAGCACAAAGAAAAATCAAGGGGGGAGATGCTGGACGCAACAAACGAGCGTGATTCTTCATATTTCGTTTAACTAGTTTACGTATTTTTCTTTTCTTTTCTTTTCTTTTCTTTTCTTTTTTTTTTTTTTTTTTTTTCTTTCTTTCTTTACCTACGTGTACGTGCACGCGCGCACCACCACACGCGCGTATCGCATTTATAATGTCGCGTGCGCGCGCGTTAGAGATCAAAGGTTTGCATTGTCGCTTAAGAAATCACGTTTCTTCACTCTTACGAAAACTTAATCGTTCCTCGATTATACAGATTTTTATGCGTTTTTATTTCCTGTCCCGTCCGGGGTGGAATTCAAGCCCGACGATGCATAGAACACGAAACTATACATAAACGTCCATTGTCACAGCAATTAGCAAATGAAACAAATCGCTGTTTATATTTCGTTTCGTTAAATATATTCATGGAAATACGAGGTTGCATAAAAATCCGCGGTTCAATTATATGTCACAGAGAGAAAGGAGGGGAGGGATAGAGAGAACCAATTAACCCTCTATGGGGCCGTGCAACTTTCTATTTCAGATCACATGCTAATGTATCGACATTTTACCAAATAATTTTAGTTTTTTCACAAGATGACGTATACGTCTTAATTATATAATGCCTCTGAGATAATCAATATCGATGAGGACGCAGCAAAAAGCCGAGGTGTAAAAAATAAAATGTTCCAAATGCAACGTACATCTATGTTTAACGCCAAGTGCAAACTCTTTTATTGAAATTTCACGCTTAGGCTTTTATGCACAGAAGTGATAAGATATTGTAAACCGTTGCTACCACAAAGTTACAAAGTGAATTAATCATAATAAAATTTTTTTTCTAATCTGCATATGGAGCATTTCGTTGCATAAATTCTTTTACATTTAAGAAAAAAAATTCGGCCCACAGAGGGTTAATTAATAAAAAAAAAAAAAAAAAGACGGTTCATACCTTTTCGAGACGGGACGTATTAAAAGCGTGCAGTGGCTCGACGCAAATGACGATCATTATTAAACTGCCGCTGCAACTAATCCATGAATTGAGAATCGACGAGTTGTTCTTGAAAAAAAGAAAAAGAAAAAAAATATTGCAACATTGACAAAGCGTGTAAAAGGTGGTAAAAATTGCAAATTGCAAAGGTATACTGAGATCAGCCACTTTTCATTTTAAAATCGTCCGGCATTCATTCGAGGGACCACAATTCGTTTCTTATTTCACTTCTTTCTTTTCTTTCTTTCTTTCTTTTTTTTTTTTTTT